GGACAGGAATGCCAGACAAGCAAGGAGCTAATAAAATAGCAATCAAATATATAATCTAAATTCAGAAAAAGAAGCAGCCAAGAAACATTTGTGCTAGAGAACTATGGAATTTACCACTGCGACAGAAAATTGAGATTAACACAGCAGAATCCATATATAAAACCTGGCACATAGTAAGAGTATGAAGCTGAGGAATTCATACTGATGGACAATTGCCAAACACTTTGACAGAGCTGGTAACTGGAAATATCATTTTTTTAAAGACTGTCAAAGACACCCATCTATAATAAGAAAGGTAAGAGAAAGTTTGCCATATTACTCTATGGTATTAAAAACAAGTGTGAGAAAACATTCTTATTTTCTCAAGACATCATGGAAGAAAATTCACATCTTCAGTAAATATCTCTTCTAAATTTCCTCTTGGAAAGAGGAGGATGACTAGCAGCAAGATGGATGGGATGGACTCTTTTACAGTGGCAACTAAGTTGAGAGACCTTAAAAGACCAGGATAGAGAGAGCACCATGGAGAAAAACAATTCGATGGCATATAATCAACAATCAGAAAAAATTTCTCTAGTAAATCTTTTTTTAAAAAACCTCCCTGGCACCATTTTCTCATCATAAACCTTTCTCCCTAATATGGGAAGAAACCAGTTATTTAAAATAAAATGCTGTCTGGAATTTGAACTGGTCAATTGTCTCTTCCAATATTTTTTTTTTATTTTCAGTTACAGAATCACAGTCAGAGATTTAAATAATCCATGAAGAAAACCTGATTTTTGTGCATCCCAAAAGCTGCCACCATTCTAATTAGCATACCTATTTCCATCAGTATAGCTTTTGTGAAAAACAACACATTATTTTAATTGAAAAAAATTGTTATTTATATTCATGTATTTTATTAGCTGGTGATTTCACTTCCAGGGTGATAAGCACTTAACCAGAATTTGCTGTTGTATGGAAATTATAGTCTTTTGTTCTACTAACAGTTTTTCTTAGGTTGGAAAACTATGTAAAAATAAATAAAATGTGTGTGTGTATGTATCTGATATGTACAGACTCCCATATATTTGGGAAGAGAAGAGCACTAAGAATGGAACAGCTAAACTTGGTTGTTCCATCCGTGTTTTAAATGTTCAAATGAAATTTCATTCTATCATGTGGATTATTGTGAGATATCAATAGTTTTGCTAACATGTAATAGTTGTAATATAGTGACTATATGCATGTTGTACTGAAATTAAAACCTCCTTCTTTCCTTCCATCCCTTCTTTGCATCTTGACTTTCTTCTTGCCTAAATTAGATAACAACTTACTTTCTTGAATAATTTTTTATATGTCCCACTAACTCTGGGAAATTATATCCAATGGTCTGACTCCTAACATTCTTAGCAACTTCTCAGCTGGGCACTTATGGGAGTCCAACCAAAGGTTATGAAGTCCAATGAAAGATTAAGGAAGTCTGCTCCAACTCTTCCAGCAACATCTGAGTTTTCGATATGCTGAGCACAATACTTGACATTCAAACTCAAGCACTATTAAAATACATATGTAGTTCGGCTGTGAATGTTGGTAAATGGCTTCTTAAGTTTCACAGCAGTATAAAACAGCCTGACTCCACTTCACTGACAATTCCATATTGTATGGCTTCATCAAGTTCAGAACGAATTGTGAAGTGTGCAAGGAAATGAGGCAAGAGAAATAAGAACTCTGTGACTTGAATGTATAAATCACTGAGAAATTGCTCTAGATTTAATCAGGTTGAAGAGACCAAAATAAATAATAAAGTTCAGGATGGCTGTATTTGTGATATTCTTCTGCCATAAAGAATTTTTTTTTATTTTGTTTGTGGACTGTAATTGGTTTGTAGTGATGTTTTTTTTAAAAAAACCAAAAGACTATTACATACATTATTATGTAAACTTATTTAATCACTATTTTATGGGATTGTTTATTTTGCAGTTTATTGTAGTATAATATTTTTATAATTCCATTATCGTTAGTTGAGTTGAACATCACCAAATGATATGCCCAAGTACACAAACCAGAAGTAATGTTGAAAGGTGTCAAAATGCCTTTCTTTCGAGGATTCGATTTTCCCACTGGGAGAGCTCCGGCGCAAGGATACGGACAACTACTTGAAAGCTGGATCTTTTTATTTTTCAGGAAGGCGGAGAACAGCGAGAAGTCTGCGCTCCTGGGCTAGCTAGCTTCTTAAGGTAAGTCCCTGGTTTTTTATGCCCTTTTCTCCCTTTGTAAGTTGATTTTGTGTGAGTGTTTTTATTTGTGCTTAATGTTTCAAATCCTGTTTGAGTTTGTCTTTATTTCCATCTGAGGGCAAACTCCGCAGGGTGGCCAGATTGTATTATTGGTTTTCTGTAATCTCTTTTAGCTTTAAGATAGTTTTTCATATTTGTTCTGTGGCAATCTCCTGTCTGTCCCTTTTGTAATTTATATTTTGTGTCTTTTGTCTGTTTGCTTATTTGGTATGTCCTGTGTTTGTAAGGGTTTTCTAAATTATCTTTTGTTTCCCTTTCCTATCTGTCTAGTTTTCTTAATTACTTAGGCTTTTGTCTATAGGGATTCTTTAACACTCTTTATTTGATTCCTTTTCCTATGTAAGTTTGTTTTCTGGCTGACCTGATGTTCCCCTTGGGCTTTTCCTGTTTTTTGCTTTTTTAAAAAAAATAAAACTACTGTCTTCCTGAAGTTCCCTTTCCACAGTAATGAATTAGCTTCTAACCAAAATTAAACTTCTTTGTTGAGTTTGACTATAGGCTGAGCATGAATATGTAAAATCAGTGGGATCTAAACATGCTTCATCTTATCTGAAACATATAGTTCAGTTTAATATCAATACCAAGGTTGCTCATCGGACAGTGGTACTATGGAAACAATAAGAGTCTTGTATAAAATTCATAAAAACAAGTCCCAACTATCTCAGAGAATTCATTTTATGAAACAAGTATTGCTTGTCTCCTCCTTGAACTGGGGGGGGGGGGGTCTTACAAATACATTGCTTTTCGAAATGGATCAAGCTGTAACCAGCTAATTTCAACTGTCCAACATTTTCACATGCCTTTCATTTCAGTGAAATGTACATTTCGACCCCAGAAAAAATCCTGCAGACTTTAAAATGCCTAACTTTACTAGTGTTGCGGCAGACGATTTGCTGGCTATTCGTCTCACAAGATTAAAAGCAAGGCATTCTAAGACTATATAAAGCAGGCTGTTGCCTAGGAAAACTCCTCATTCGATTTCAAACCAATCAGAAATGAATTAAGAAAAGTAATATGCACATGTGACCCGATCCGTAGTGAATGGTACAGCGCGGGCTTCGACGTGAGAGCGGCGGCGATCCGTCCCTTTGCAGATCACCGCTTCGTTGCCTTCGTGTGGAGAGATCTTTTGGGGAGGGGGCGGAGTCGCATGCAGCACGTACTCAAAGGCAACTCACAAGCAACCATGTCAAAAGATTTAAATTCCTCTGGCCAAATTTAATGCAAAAACTTGGGCCGCTTTTTTTTTGTTTTAGTCGATCTTTTCATGGTTACCGAAGGTCCAAGGTTTTTGAAGTTGGGGCACCACACAACCTCTGGATAGGTTTTTCCTTTGGAGGAGTCGAAGTCAAAACGTTACGGGTTGTTAAGACGATCGCCTAAAACGGGCAAAGCAGACACCGGAGACTTGCTAAGCGGAGCGTCAGGAGTGGAGTTGTTGTGTTTTGTTTTGGGTTGTTTTTTTTTTTTTTTTGAGGGGGGGCGCGGGCAGATTGGAGCTACCTCGGAGCAGGAGCCCCTCGGCTTTAGGACCGCTCGGAGCGCTCCCGCTCCGGAGGTAGTATAAGCTTTGCCATCTCTTCTACTCTACTGGCAGTTTGCAGAAGATCGCTTTGAAGTGAAGCGGCAGGGCCACCCCTCCCGCGCTTGCTTCTCTCCCAATCCTCCCCCACCCCTCCACCCTCCCGCTCCCCAATTAATCGCCTCCTGTCCTTAAGTTTGCGAGCTCCTCTCAGCCGCGGCGAGGGCGAGGGAGCGCCGCGAAGCTCCTGCCGCCGAGGTCTATAAAGGGAGAATTGGCTGCCCAGAAAGGACAGGCTCGGCGCCGACGGGGAGGAGGGGGGTGCCTGCTTCTTCTTCCCTCCCTCCCCCGATGGACTTTTCTAACCGGAGCGCCGCCCGGGAAACCCCCTTCGATCCTGGCCGGCGAAAACAAAAACCAATCCCCAAAAAAGGGGGGCAATTCCGCGGTCTTCCAGGCTAACCGCGGGGATTTTGACTGCCTCCCGCGCTCCTTTTCACCCTCGGCGATCGGAAAATAAAACGATGAAAGCTGAGGGGATCCCTCAGCCCCAGCAGCAGCCGCCGCCGCGGGAGCAGCAGCAGCCGCCGCGCCACCCGGAGCTGCCGCGGCCGGCAGGCAACCCGCGATCGCACCGCGCCTCCCTGTCAAAAGTTTGAATGCCAAGAAGTGAGCCCGGCACAAGGAAGGGCGAAGGCGGGGCTGGAGCGGGACGGCTAGAAGAAGCGACCGAGACCTCCTCTTTCCCGGTCCTCACCGCCACCTCCTGAGCCGCCCTAGTTTTCCCTCTGGTCCGATCCCTGCCTTTTTCTCTCTCTCTCTCTCTCTCTCTCTCTCTCTCTCTTCCACTCCCCCCCCACCCCCAGTTCGGGGAGGACTCTCGCCCCGTCGCCAGCCCAACCGGGCCCATCTCCAAAGGGGCAGCGCCAGAGGAGTGGCTAAATCCAAGGGGGCGCGCGAAAGAAGCGCGGCTCGTCCGCTCGCCGGGTGGCTCCAGCTGGGCTTCGGGGCTTTGCTTCGCGACTCGCCCCGCGGAAGTCTTTCGCCGCGGGCTGCAACTTTGTCGCCTAAAGCGGGTGCGGCAAAGGAGGAAAAGGGGCGGCCGAACCAGCCGCCGTCTTCTTTTCTCCCTCCCCCGCCACCCCTCCACCGACATCGCCGCTGCTGGAAGGAAAGAAGGAAGCCGGCAACAGCCAGCGCTGCCATCCAGGGTCCGGAGCAAAGGCGGAGGGGGGGGGGTTGCTTCCCAGGTTTCGGCAAAACGCAGCGATCGGCCCGAGACGGTGAGTAACCCAGCTGATCCCCCCCCGCGCCCCTCCGTCCCCAACCGTCTTTTCTCTCGGCCCTCCCTCCGGGTGCGGTTCTTGAAGGGGCGGACGGTAAACTTTCTGAGACGGGCCTCCGCACTTGACTCTCTTTCCAGATTCCCGGGATGGGATCGGAAGAGTTGGGAAGGTGCCCTGGGAAACTTGGCTGCCTTAAAAACGAAACTCCGCTGGAGCCCTTCATCTCTATCTAGGACAGCATGAGATGAACCCGCCCCAGAGGGTTGGAAGGTGATCGGGCGGTGGCATTAAGAGCCTTTGAGATTTTTCTAAAAATTCAAACCGAGAAGAGAGAGAAAGCGAGTCGCCCGGCTTGGGTTCGCATATATACTGTATTCATTCATTCATTCATTCATTGATCCATCCACCCTTTGGAATTTTGACTCCCTTCACAATTGATAACCCTGTGTAGACTCCTTGCCTGTTACAGGGATCGCTCTGTTGCAAACAGAGTTATTGCACAATTAATGTGATTTTATTGCATCTTCTCCTCCTCCTCCCCCTTCGCAATAACCAATTACGAGATTTTAGAAGAGAAAAAGGAGATAAAACTTAGATACAAATAGAAACTGCGCCCTCTAGCGTTCATTTGGAAGTCTTTCCACAGGGGAGACACTCCGATTGGTACTTCGGCAAAAAGGCGGAAGAAAAAAAAAATGCCAGCGGGGATTTCAAAGCCTTTATCCCTAGAAAGAGACGTGTGTCCCTTTTTTATATCCCTAATATGTGGAATGGTATAAAAGTGGCATCTTTTCCTTCCAAGCAACGAAGCTATAAATCCATTAGTTTTACAGGCAGTAGTGCATCTTCATATGTGTCCATGAATTCCTGAACTGTATAATAACTGCATTTAAAGAAGACTGAGGGCTCACTTTTATTAGTAATTTTTTAAAAACAATTTTAAACTAAAAAATAGTTACAGAATATATGATAGGCAACAAGGAATAAATAGACGGCCTTTGAATAGAATGGCCTATAGCTTGGGATGATATTTCCTGTTTGGGTTTCTGCAAATACAGCTTTTTTTTTCCCTGAAGGAGAAAAGAAAAATAGGATACAAAATACAACAGCAAAATACTGGAGAAGATTGTGTTATCTCAGTCCTTAATTCAGATCTAAAATATCAGTCGGATTTGATAAAGAAGAAATGTATCCAGTCCTTCAAAAACACCAGATGATGGAAAGGGATATTCAACAGCTCTAATGCTTATAATTTGTGAGGCTTAATGCAAGAAGTAGTTGACAATTAAGAATAGCTTCTCATATTAGCCTTTCTTTCCTGGTATTTCCGTTTTCCAATTACATTTCTTTCAAAAGGAGAATAAAATGTGGGCATTATTATCAGCAGCAAATCTGTTCTTTTGACTTTGTCAAATGCAGTTGACTCAGAATGCTTTTTACAGTTCCACCAGAAATAAGTGTCATTTATATCATAGAAGAAATATTAAATATTAACAAAGAAGAAAGATTAAATATGTCCACAATGGAAGAAGAGTTTTAGGGTAACTTAAAAACTCCCTGTCTTAGAAAGTTGGCTCAGCAAATGACACCATTTTGAAAGAGTTTGGGTCCTGCCTGAAAAATATGTCAGCAGCACACTTTGGCATAATAGATGGATGCTCATTTTGTGGCTGTGGTCACAAGTAAATCATAACCAGGAATGTTATTTCAAGACCAAAATGCAGAATTTCTTGTTTGCAAGACAGGGACTTCTCAGCTCTTTGATACTCGGTTCTTTGCATACCATTAACTGCTTAAAATTTGGCGGGAAAACACCCAAGAATGATACAGGAAGTTATCCAATGCAGAAGGTACCACGGCTGATTTACTACTGTGACACAGGGAAGCTGGTGGACTTGTAATTGCAGGTGCTTTCCTTCTGTATTTGAGAGGTAATTTCATTATGCCATTGAAAACCTGACATTTCTAAAGAAAGGACCCGTGGTTAAAGGAGGAGAGGTGATTTGTGAAGAGATAGGGATTACCAGGGATTGTTCCTGAAACTTAACTAATACGAATACTGCCTTGAAGTGAAAGCCGGTGATTCAGCCTTCGTTCTGCTTTTTGAATATTAGTGATGTGCCACAATTGGTAACATTTTTTGTGTGGTTTCCTTTCCTTGTATTGCTGCAGGCAAGAGAAAGTTGGAATTGTCTGCCACAGGATAAGTATGACTCACACTTCTATTTTTATAGTAAATCTTCCTTGTCTTTCTTCTTCTCGCTTGCTACAAGTTGTTGTTACATCCTCTAATCCCCACTCCTTTAACCTCAAACTATCCACTATTGACCTCATCTCATTCCTAAGAGGTCTGTAAGGGGCATGCATAAGTGCACAATCGTGCCTACCGTCCCTGTCCTTTTGTCCCTATTTATTCGTACCTATTTCTTGTATTCTTACTCATGTTTATATTTATACCTATTATCTTGTAAGCGATAGAAAAATCAAATCAAATAAATAAAAAAATAAAGTCAGAAGTGTAATACCTGATGGACGTCCTGAGGAGAAGATTGGTATATTTTCCATCAGTCAAATTTGTAAAAATAACTTGGTCTGACTAGATAATTGGAAGTCCTCCCCACCACTTACCTGAATGGATTCAACATTATTTCAAGCCTGAAGGCATAAAGCACATATTCATATCGCCCTGTATTCATTTGTTCAGCAAACTAATTTAGCATTTATGTAAGTTGGCTTTAAATGCAGAAATTTTGTATTACGTGTGTGTGTGTGCACATGTATGTGTGTGTATGTATGTATGTATAAATAAGCATTTAAAGAGAGGTGTCTGTGTGGAATGATAGTTATGTTCTGGATTGTGTTTACAGCATTATTACTGTTGGTCTTTAGGAAAATTCAGCCGGAATTCATACAGAGCAGAGGTTGGAACACAATCCTCAAATTACAATTGACTAATTGCTATGTGGATTCCTGGTATGTGTGCATATGTGCCTCTATTAAAAAAAAAAAAAAACTATTTCACCTAAAGGAAAGGGCTACATTCAGTTTGATTCGTGGATAATAATGTTAACAAAAGCTTGGAAGTATAACATTATTAACATTATTATCCACGAATCAAATTGAATGTAGCCCTTTCCTTTAGGTAACAGTAGGATAGATTTCCAAATAATACATACAAAACTGTTATTTGGGGCTTTACTTTATTTTTAGAATACAGGTCTGTATATATAAAGAGACAGTCCTCACCGGGGAGTTCTATTGATTAACTACCCAATCAGCTTCTTAGTGCCAATTTCTATTACGAGACAATGATCTTTGCGCGTCTGTGGGTGTGGATCTGTGTGTGAGAGAGAAAGACAGAAGGATGCTATTTACAGGGACCAGATCACTACAAGATGCTTCATTTGTCAGCAGTTGCTAATCAGAATGGGAAGTTGGTTGTTTTTCACAGTTAATTGCATCTGGGATATTGTTCGGGGGTGTCAGCGGGTATATGTAAACAAGGATTTGCGTGAGACTAAATAGCAGTCCTCTGAATTGCCCCTAAGGGGAAGCTAGGTTGTAGAAGCACTGGTAAAGGGTTAAAATTCTGTAGGTGTGATGAGCTGTCAGTAATAAAGGACACTCTAGGTCTCTGTGTGCCAGAACTCCATTGAATGTCGTTAGCATAATCCATTCCCCTCCCCACCCCAGTGGATTGCAGTCACCTTTCCTTCAATCTGAGGGGATAGATTCTAGGGATCACTCTAGTTTCATACAGCAGATTGTGTGATCACAGGGTAAGCAAAGGTTATAACGCTAGAGAGGATTTAGCAAAATAGTCCTCTGTCAGTTTTTAACACTTGTGTTAGAACTGATCAGATATGAACAGAAGAAAAAAAATCTGGAAGAAAATCCTACTTTATCCTTCTTCTTTGTCACACTAGATGTTCAAACTTGAAAGTTTGATCTTAAGAAAGCTCAAGTAGAAACCTCCATATCAGTCATAACTATTTGGATGGCCTTGACATAAAATTCAGTTCCACGGAAATGCATTTAGGATGGAAGTGAAAATATTCAAGTACATTTCTACATTGAAGTGTAGAAATCTCATCATGCTCTTATTTAATGAAGATCTGTATCTCTTGAGTTGCAGTCTACAAATGCAACATGAGGTGCATTCTGCTGTTATTAAAAATTCTCATGATCCTTGGCATATGATCTTCAAGCCAATATCCTTCCCTCTGTCAATGAGAACTCATTAATAATGAGATACTGCCGACTGCTAAGCTATGCTGCGTTAGCTCTTGCCAAACGATGATATTTTTAATACATTAATAATATGTCTGAAATGTAATGGAAAACTATTAATCACACCCTGGACAAGTGCCAGAAATTTAAGCTGTAATTGGCTGTTTCTTGTCAAGCATGCCAGTCGCATGTTCTGATACTCGAATCACCTGCACAAAGGTTTCAACTTTTCTCTTGTCATCTTGTTGAATGAGATCAGTGTTATACTCTATAATTTTGTGTAATTACCATAATCATGACTTTTTACTTGCTTCAACAGTAATTCATTATCTGGGGGAAGAATATACTCTAGATAGAACATTTGCACCAATGTTGCATTTTAGTGCAAATCTTCTGCCATCTTGATTGTTGCTTTCATCTATTTGCAATCTGATATGAGTCTCCAATTATTTTATTGAAGGTAGTTAAAATATATGCTTCTCAGAAGTAAAGCTGTATTAGAAGGAATTGGACTTAATACCACTATTAAATGGTATAGAAATATATAACTTCTTCGGAATTCATGAGATGCTGTTCTTGGCAATTTGTTAACTTATTGTACAAAGCAAGGAACTATTTCTATTTATAAATATTAATTTAAAATGCATGCTTTCAGTCTAAGTAGTCATTTGAAATGAACCAAATCCTGTTTCAGATAGTCACATATGTAAGTTGGTGATCAGTATGTAAGATTAAAAAATGTAAAAAATATCTTGAAGCAGAAGGAGATGACAAAGTTTTAAAAAAAGAATCTTTGAGCTCTTTAAAATCCTAAGTTTGCTACCTAAGCTGGAGTGTGGTGTACCTCATTCCTGAAAAGAAGCTGAACTTTCTCACAGAACACTGGTTTGTGAAATAAATAGGAAACTCCATGTGTCCATAAGGCAATTATTGTAATTTGCTATGGAAACATTATTCAGCCATCTGTTGGCACTGCATCAGAACTATAGCTGGTTTCTTGATGCAAGATAATGTTATATGTGAATAGAAGGAACCTCTTTATAGATTCGCTTTGCATGCCAGATTCTCTCTGCCTGAAAGTAGGCATTTTTGGCACAAGCTATGGTGCTGCACAGGTCATCAAAATGTGGTGTTCTTTTTTATTCATGTGATATCCTAAGTCATTTTCTTAACTCATCAGATCATCAGATACCAAACAGGGAAAATATTGGTTTGGGGGAAACAGCACAATTGCTTCCAGATGTTTTCTGCCATGTGTAGGAATTTAGTAAGAAATTAGTGTGATTCCTTAAAATGTCAGTTAGGAATATAGTACCGGTAATTTGACTGCACACTTATTTTTCAGTAATTGTGTAGAAAGGGCTTATTATTAAATAATGACTAAAATAATACTTAGTAAATGTTGCATTCTTTTTAATAATATTAAAGCAGTTAAAAAAACCAGGATGCTGCAATACTTTTGTCAAATGTTTTTGTTAGAATTTACTTCTAGATTGATATAACCAAAATCTGTATATTCCAGTGATCTGTTATTTCACAAATTGTTAACATCTTTAATACATTTATCATAATTCAGGTGGCATAGTTATTAATTCAAACAAATGTGCACAAATGCATTGGTACAGAAGGGGAGAGAGGGAGAGAGAGAAAGAGAGAACCCCTGTAGAAAGTTCTTTTATCACAGCTTAATTAAAATCTGGTTAGAGAGGAAAGTGTTGAGCTTGGATTGAGCCTGCGGGCTGCCAAGTAGCCATGCCTTGTGTTTAAATGCCTTGCAAAATTGACAGAGGTCAGTGTGAGAATTTCTTTGATGTGTCTTTTCTATCATTTAAATTATCACCCAGCATTTTATATACTGCTCCAGTGAACACAGAAGGTAGATTGAGAAGATTGCTTTCTCCTGTGGAAATTGACACATAAAGGGACTTTAAAATAATAACAGCCAGTCTATATAAGGAATTATTATTATCAGCTGCAAATGAGCCAACTGTTATCTTTGTCATTAAACACAATTAAACGAAAGCAGCGCTCTTCCAGTAGTAATGGGGAAAAAAATCCAAAGAGACCGAAATGGGCTCATCAGATCACTTATTAAGTTAACAAAAGCTGAGATGTGTAACAGATATTTTGAGCTCTCAGAGGTCTTCTTTTGAAGAGATGAAAAGCATGCAAGTTGTTGTCAGTCCTTTGTCATTGTAATAAAATTTTTTTTTGACACCTTTGGTAGACTGGGGATTGTATCCCCAATTTGGCTATGAAGTATGTGACTGGTTTGGGTGCTGCTGCTGGGCTCAGGTTTTGACAAGAGGAAAATAATGTTCTATAGACAGACAGACAGACAGACAGACGGATGGATGGATGAAAATGAGACCGGAATTAAAGCTCTCATGCCAAAATAATTTTGGTGATGAGTGATTTAGACATTTAGTTTATTTTAGCAAAGTTCCTCCGGTAAAGGTTACCCCATTGTTTTTTTTCAATTTACCTTGTATTGAGCAAGTCCCTTAAAATGTCAACATTTCAAATATTTTCTATTGCATTGATCCTGGAACGGTAACTCTTACTTTTATTGTTTCTAAAAGGGTGCTGGTGCCAGAAGAAAAGAATGATTGATGGCAAACAGACTGTAAATACCCATCATTTTGGTCCGTCAGCTGATTCATCTGTTTGGCAGACTGTTCCTCATGAGCCGGAAAAAAAGAGGATTGGTCAGGATTATTGACGGTACAGCTGAGGCCTGGCAACACTGCTGAATTATACCTGGTTTTGGACATTATTTGCATAAGTGATTAAAAGTCCTGAAACACCTGGGAATGTAAGCATCCTTCACTTGGCTTTGAACGACGTATAATAAATAATATGCTTGGCTTCCACCAAAGTTTCCAAAATTAAAAACACAGTTATTGTAACTTAAGCTCTTCTCTCCTTTGGAACATATTTTGCAATAAAGTTGCCTCTCTCTATGTATATTTATGTATAATAAAGACTGCACTTAGTTCCATATTGGTGATTGCTGTCAAGGCACTCGAAAGGATATAGAGATGTATTTGTCAAGATTCCTGTCTCTCCATGCCCTATGGGTTACTGTGTCTTCAGTAATGCAACATTATCCTTCAGTTTGGGGACATTATGATGTGTGCAAGACACAGATTTATATGGATGAAGACAAGATTTGGGATTATACAGCCTGTCAGCCTGAAGCCATAGATATGATGAAACACGTAAAAGTAAACCTGGATCCACCTAATATAACATGTGGAAATCCACCGGAGACCTTCTGCGGAATGGTAAGGCAAAAAGTATAAATCTTATCTTTAAGCATAAAGCATAGCTCTCTCAGAGAAACAGAATAATGTCTGTCCATTGCATCAAGACCAACATCTTTAGTTTAGGACTGGACAGCATTTTTTGTCACGGGACTAAAAAATGTCCAGCAGAGAGGAAGCATAAGAAGCTTTTAAAGCTGAAGGGTTAAGTAGTCAATTTAAATTTAGTTGAATGAAGGAAAGTGGTTCTTGAGTCAGTGGTATTCTTTTACTGCTTTTTTTTAGGCCTCAGAAAGCCCTGAAATGACTGCATAGATTCATAAGAACTCCCACAAAGGTTATTGTTACATTTTTAAATTTTGATTAGTTGGAAGGGAAAGTATTAGTTGCCCCTATAATAATCCTACAAAGTGTATATCAACTTAATTTTACTTACCATTTAACTTAAATCTGTTTAGTTTGTGTTGTGGCCTATATAATTGTGAAAGTTTTGACTTGGCTCAAAAAGCATTGTTATTAGATCGGACGTTAAATTTGTTTCGGTATTTTCAGCTTTTTTTAAAATTAAGCCATAAATGATTTTTTGGAATTCTGCACTGTGCTGGGTAATATTTTATATTAAGACAATGGCTTCTGCAGGATTTGCATGGCCTTTAGGAAAATAATCCAGCAACCTGTAGCTATAACAGTTGGGTTTTTCAGAGCTGATAAAAATGTACCATTTTTCCTTAAATATACAGTATTTGATTATGTGTTCCTGTTATTTTCTTTCTACCTGCAAAGTATGAAATGTGCTTCTCTGACATGAGCTGAATATTGCATACTGAATGGAGGATGGCTCTCTAATTTGGGTGATACTTCTGAAAGAATAAATGCGGGGGTGGAGGGGGGGAGTGACAGATTCAGTCAAAAAGCCTGTGCACTGTCCAGCATTCATATCTTGTTAAAGCAAGATTGACAAGTCCAGGGGAAACCAGTCCTGGAGTTTTCATTTCCTCATAAAAAGTATGCAGGTGGTATTTCGTATATGTATGCATGCATTTTTGCATTTGTGTTTTATACAACCTGTAGAAGAACAAGACTAAGACAATCTCTCCCACATTCTCCGTCTATCTCTATTTAAAACAAATAGTGTTTAAAATTAGGTGGCCCTAAACACAGAAGAACCATTCTTGTACTCAAAACAACTCATTCTCAACATACAAAAATCTGCAAATTCCCACACGCATTTCCATTCCTTTCTTCAAGCAGGAATAGAAGAAGAAAAAATAAACTTCAGGATACTGATTTTGTGAGGAGGAGAAGTTACACTGGGAAGGAAAGAAAAGAGAAATCCATGAACAAATCTAAATAGAAAAGAGCTCAAAGGCAGAAATAGCTAGACAAGGAAAAGCCTCATTTTGACATTATAAAAAAGGGTAAACATTCAGTACACCATCTCCAAGTTACTAATTTTGAACACCGTTTAGTAACTAAATCTATAGTCTTTTGTACCTCCTGCCCATTCGTGTTCTTTCAACAAATTTTCTATTCTCAGTAGACATAAGAAGAACCCTTACAGGATTATTAGAGTTTGGGCATTCTCCTTTCTGGGTGGGGATGGTAATCTAGTGATTTAAAATAACTATCACTTTCATGTGAGATTTATGACTTGACATCTGCAAAATTATTCTTGCTTCAGGACTGGGCTCTCAAGATTCAGAAGCTAAAAGAATGAGCGGAGATGTAATCCAGATGCGTTCCCTAATTTATTTACAATCAGCAGTTCAGATGGTCATTTAACATCTGCCATCGTGAAGCAGATAATAATTAATTTTATAAACTATGTTTGCATGCTTTTTAAACTACTTCAATATTAAACCACCGGTACCTCGGAATCTTAGGACAAAAGCAAAGGAAATGGACAGAATAGGGAATGGAATTGCATGGGTTAATGCTGTAAAGATTGATTACTCATAACATGTTGTACATCAGTTTTGACTCAACCTGTACGCTGTCATGTTCTGAGAGCAGAGTATCACACACACACTTCAGTCAGAAGCCTCATTGAGATGAGTAACATTTCTGCAAGAGTGATACTAGACACGGCACTAAGTCATTTCATTTGGAATAGGCAGCAGAATATCCTACTGGACTGCAGTCATCTGTGATCCACTATATTTAAATTATGGCATACACTTATGACATATGAAATAAGCTTTTTTGGAGAACTGTTGGAATTTGCGTTTTTGTCGAAGACTAGTTCATAAGTAGAACATAATGCTTTACAGGTCTCTATGTTAAAAAGCTATCAGCCAGCGACAATAATACTGATCTATATAAAATTACAGTCTGGTTCGATATAAGGAAACTTTATCTAAATTATTTGATCTGGTAGAAAGGAATGTGATTTATTTAATTTTGGACACCTGAACTTTTTAGGAATGGTTTCATATGAAAGACAAACATGGAACTTTCCCAATATTTTTTTTAATAATATAAAGTATTCCACATCACATCAATTAAACAATTTAGATATGATAGATTGCATTTTCTTTAAAATATGCCTGGAATCCTTCTGGTAGGTTGCACCCTTTGTTAGGGTCTCTGGTACTTATGGCTTCAAAAAAGCAGAATTGTGTTACTCCCAAGTTGTACCTCAGCAGGAAGAATGAACTGAGGTCATTAATACAACATATATTGAGACTGGCACCTCTTTAATTCTTGAGTTGCCAATTAAAATTTTGAGCACAATGGCTCTACAAAGTGTGAAATGTGGGGATTGTAATCTACATTTATGATCTTGGTATATTTAGTTATGCCTGTGACAAAGAGGTTAGGGAATTCATTCAGCAAATATTGCCAGGAAAGGCAAATACTGTAGCAAGATCCATACTGTGTTGCCTACTCAGCTATGTTATTTAAGGAGAGAAATTTTGTACTCAAAGTTCTCCTGAGTTCTGTATGTATTTATTATAATCTAGGGTGATACACACAGGCAGGTTTTTACCATATGAGATCATTCTAGCCCATGGCTAGATGTAACTAGTATTTCTATCTGCTTTTCAGGAAAACAGAAAGAATCCTAACTAAGTTCCTGCTGTTCAAAAGTGGGCTAGTTAGACGTAACCTTCTAGGATAAAGCAAAGTATAAGGCAAATTCTGAAAGCACAAATATATTGATTTGATAAAGACTGGAATAAAACAAAATATGCTACTCAACCAAAGCTCTGTTAATTTAAGATCCTAATGGGTCTTACTAATTCCAGATCTTCAAATTAAAAAAAATGTGGATGGGGGGAACTCTTTTTTTAACCATATCTACTGTATTTTGGTGTTGGCATATATGGATTTTTTGTTGTTTTCTGAGATATATCTCTAAAAGGAAAGATACTATAGAGAAGAGACTGGGAGGTTGGCAGAGGTAAAGAATAAAGTGCTACTATCTGCAAGCTGCCAATGTTTAACCTGTGATTCACAAAAAGCAGAAGACTGAAATAATGACACATAAAAAAAGAAAATTTGCTGTTGGCTAATATAAAGTAGAGCAGCAATGCAATTTGCAATAGTTGCATTATCCCTTTTGCTCCTGGAAAGTTCATATGGAGAACTTGGAGGCACCTGCAGGTGGACATACATGTTTGTGTGACTCTCAGAGCAGAAGTGCAAAGTATGGCAAGCCTTCAAGTACCACTGTGGATTTCACAGCCAATCAAAACTAAATTAAGAAACAAAGGTTATTAAAAAGAAAGTAAAAGTCTTCCCGCACGTAATTTTGGCACGGTGTTAAGAGCTGAACCTTCAATGTTTTCCATAGAGATTTTCAGCATCATTAATACTGTGTGGCTTTCATTACCAGGACGTTTGCAATTGCTGAGGAAAAATTGCAAAGTAAAGGACTACAGTACCTGGTATCATGATGATGTTTACTGAAATAATTAAACTATCAGATATCTTCCAACAAATAGGTTTAGAAGGCAAAATGAAAATGGGGGTTTTATTTGGAAATGCCTTAATAATACATGCATACCTTGTGCAGAACAACGAATCAATACAGTGCTGTTGTGGCAACATCAAGAACAAATCCACTTTAAGAGGCTGCTAGCTGGTAATTTTTCTCAAAGAGGAAAATAACCAATTCAGATGCTACGCCTCCCATTTTCTTTACAAAAGCTCTTCAAAGTGTGAGCTTTGCCTTCTCCCACACTAGAAAATGCTCCCCAAATAGGCTTTTAAGTTTTCATGAATGAAAGTCACACAACTTCTCTAAATATTCTATCCACATTATATTAATGGCTGACTTTTTTTTTTTTGGAGGCTGTTTTCTGATACTATTTATTTGTTGGCAGGGTGGATAAAAATTGATGGTTCCTTAAAATAAAAAAATTGGATTTTTTTAAAATTTAAACCAGATTTTTTTGATTTTTATCAAATTTATTTTAATAAAATGTTTTTGGAGTAAAAATCTATCTAAAGGTACTTTCTGTTTAAGATACATTAATAATTTAGTTTATTCAGCATGATATGGAGCTTAGTTATGTAGCATGAGGCTGTATATTCTGCAATATTTACATTTTTCATAAACTCATTCAATGAATCCAAGCTCCGCAAGCTAAATAGGAAACCTTCATTTTGTTTGCAAATAATATTAAAGATTCTAACTACCAGCAAGAATGAGTCTTTACATTTAAAGAGCACCAGCCATTTCAGATCCATCATGGCAGTGCCTGTTAGTGCACTCACCTACTGCCTGCCATGTCCGTCACCTTGTTGTATCACTGCTGCATCACCAGCCATCCCGTTAAACCAAATGGGACTGTCAGTGAGTCAACACAGGGTCAGAGGAGGAGCTGCTGTGGGACAGAGATGACAGTTACTCTAAAAATTGTGATTTAAATTGAGTTGGTTTAAATCAAACCTTTTTACTAGTGATTTTAATCACAATTTAAATTGACTTGATTTAAATCAAATCCACCCTGTTTGTTGGGTTTATTTAAAAAGTTTGTAGGGCCACCTATCTCAACCAAGGAAGAAAAGAAAGA